TATCAGCTAATTTGTCCCATGTGCAGCCAGTCCACAGTGGATAAAAACCATGTCACATAAAACACTAAAAACCATGCAATAGAAACAGAATAAAACCATGCAAATAAAACACTCATAAATAAACACTAAAAATCAGAATAAAAACAATATACAAGATAAATACAAATTTCCACTGTGTGACACTTCCACGTCTGCGACTGTCCGGAGAGGAAAAACAGCACCCTCGGGTAATACTGCAGCAACTGGTCCATCACGTTGTTTGAGGAGAGACTGTAGCATTCGACTTTGGATCCTCTGAGTCTCCTTAATGTCTTCCAGGAGGGTTAGAACACGTACAAACATGCTGGTATTGGTGGCTTGTACAAGTTGTCTTGGAACTGGTTGTGAAACCACAGGTGAAGGAGTTGAGGGTGGTGGTAGCTGAACAAATGGATGAGTGATGTTCTGGTGGGGAGTTTCACTTGAATGTCTATTCTCCATTGCTGATGGTGATGAGGTCTCTGGCTGTTCCGCAGCGTTGTCCCAATCCTCATCCGAGCTTGACTGGATCACTGGCCTTAAAATGAATTTTAAAAAAATATTAAAAAACCCCACAAACAATTTAGTTACTGGTTAGTCCTACAAACTAAAAACATTAATGTATAGTCCGGCATCAAAAGGAGTCTAAAACTGATTTTTAAAAGTCAAAAAGTTAGAAAGTGCTATTTTAAGATCATATCTAAATCTGGTGAACAGCAATGGTCTGCTAAAGACACTGTCAATTTTTTTTTGTTTTTCTTATAATCACCACGATAAATTGTTGCTTTTAAGGCGTTTTTAAGAAACATAATTACCTCCTTTTCCGCTTCCCTTTTCCCAATCTGCTTCCAGAATCCGACTCAGTCTGCAGATCAGAGGTTGCTTCAGACCTCCGCAGTTTCACCCTGGCATTTTCATAGTTTTCTGTAAATTTTTGACATACATCAACAAAATGTTGTTAGAAATTTTTTGTTCTGTCTTTAATGACAGAATATTTGGTAGCAATAAACAAAAATGCTTCTTACCAGCTTTCCCCAAGATGTGAACTCTGTACTGTGACCAGTTTGTATCTGGAGTAACTCCATCCTTTACAGCCTTATTGATATTGACTCTCCCTGGTGGCCAGAAACAAGAATCTTCCGCTGGTCCTGTAAACCACTTGCAAGGAATTATGGATACACCTCAACCATCCAGAAAATCAACAACTGCAAATGGTAGCATGCTGGTGAGAAAGCAAAAAGAAGCCAACTAGTACAGCAGTGGCAATGCCATATATCCAGACTTCACTGGCAAAAGCACCATTTTCTGTTTTAATTCATCAAGTAATACAAGATGCATTTGTTTAGACAGATTTGAAACAAAGTAAATTCCAAGGCATGTTGAGTCCAATGGATAGCTGAAAAAGGCATTACAGTTTTCAAAGACCGATATTTTTCTTTAGATATTTAGAAGTCAATGTGGGCAAAGATCTACTTCTATATAATAAGCTCTAGTGTTTTGGATCATTGTCATGTTGGAAGACCCAGCCTCGTTTCATCTTCAAAGTTCTCACTGATGGAAGGAGGTTTTGGCTCAAAATCTCACGATACATG